ATCAACAAGGGGCCACCAAGTAGCGCGGCCCCGGGGAAGGTGGGCGCAGGCAAGGCAACAGGGCGAGCATGCAGACCGAAACGAGAGCAAAACGGAGGTCTTTGTGACGAGCAAGATGGGGCTTTGGACCAAAATGCCACTGTGTCTGTGTGTGCGTGTGTCTGTCTGAGAAGGCAGAGACTAAGAGAGCAGGGAAGGAAAGCAGGGGCAGAGAGAGCAAGGGGAAAAGCAAGCATACATACATGAGCTTGAAGGCTCGCAGGAAACAGCGAGGTCAGGGTACTGAGCACTCAGAAAATGCATCAGCCTATATTTGAAAAAAAAAAGGCTGACAAATATTAGTGACCTTTGGGGGAAGGCAGAATACTGAGTAATGCGTGGGCCTAAAATTTAACATCTGCAAATCAGAGTTGGGTCCAGCTGCTGGGACACTGCTCCCAAGGGGGGCTTTTCCTTCCCCTCCCATCTGGTGAGATACCTGCAGGGTGAGCATGAGGGCCACCACGTGAAGGGCTGCTGGACCAGCACATGCATCCAGGGGCACTGAGGGACAAGGGAGGACAGAAGACAGACCAGCACATGCCTGGGACTCTCTGGTTACTCTCTGCAAAGCGTGGCCAGCAGTTTCTTTGACTATGTTGGAAGGAACTGGCTGGGGAAAAGTCTTGGTTATGTTTTGCAGCAAGGCCATGCCAAGCTGGCAGAAGAGTGGGGAAGATTGACACGTTAATCTGAGACACGAGTAGCATGCCATAAAAAAGAGCAAGCGTCTGAATGATACTGGGATGGAATTTAGATCTGATTTTTTTCAAGTGGGAACTCCAGACACAACTGGGAGTCTGGTTTTCCATGGGTATGTTTTGACTGCCTGCAGGGTAAACAGACCATTTTGGTTCTCCTTCTGTGACAAGCTCGCCCCGAGGTTCTTGCACCAGCACAAACACCTTTAGGAATCTAAAACATAAGAAAGACAAAAAGAAAGAGACTGGATTAGAAAGAGATTTGGGAAAAAGGGATCCCTTAAGAGCAAGCATCGCCTGCAGGAGGTTAAATGGAAATACAGCACCCAAGCATCCACCAGGTTATCAAGGGTTAAGAAAAAGCTCCTGAACTCAGGTTTAAATTGCCCCAGAACTCAGGTTTAAATTGCCCAGAGTAATATTCTCCCTCTGCCCTTCTCTGCAGCACCAGGGAAGGGCATCACGGGAACATCCCTGCAAGAAGGATGCACACAGAGCAGCAGGACCCCAGCAGCACCTTCCTACCACAACAGCAGAGAAAACAAATGCTTTTCTTTCCCTTTTTATCCTGCAAAGGAGTATCTGGTGACTATGCCAAAGTGCACGATACGAGGAATGATACTGAAGAATAAGCAGCAAATGCACAAGAGATTCTGCAGATGGATGCACAGCAGCCATCCTTTACAGAGGAGGCTGTGTTGGCCATTGATTCTTAAGGGGTGAGCGTCTAAAGTCTACAGTAGGTCACATTTGTGTGGCCACAGATATGTGAAGCAGGGCTAAGTTTTCCATGTGGCCAAATCAAGCCAGGATCCAAGAATTTTATTTGGCCCCAGAGACTGCTGTATCAAAGCAAGTATCAGATACGGGTCCAAACTCCCCTTGTGCTTCATGGAACCTTCAGATCTCCTTTGCACCCACTTCTATAAAGCAAAGAAGTTGAAGGGCACTTGTTCGGCATCAGTAAAGTTAAACTAAAATGCATACCCATTAAAAAAACCTCACAGGAATGAGAAAATAAAATGTTTATTAGAAGACACCGTAGTACAGGAAGCTATAAAGAGACCTGACAGATGATGATTTTTAGAAAATAAGAATACAAAAGCACAGCCACATTGGCCAGATTTAACAAACAAACACAAAATAGAAGTTTCTATATAGGTCCAACCAGATGCAGACAGCTGAGTATCCAAAAAAAGTTTATCAACATAAGAGTTATCAAAATGGTTAAGTAAAACAACAGTCAATAAGACTATTTATATATATTTATATATATAAAAGAATAAAAACAATTGAAATTCAAGTAACTTTAGTTTTTAAGTTAGGTTATATACAGTTTTAAACTAGGAGAAATGAGGACAAGTATTTAACAAAAGGGATTTCCAAAAGCCACAGAGCAATTGATAATTGCTCCCTCCTACAGCATTTGGCAAGCATTAAATAGTGAGCTACGTGCTAGACAAAAAGTGCATCAGCAGGGTTAACTTCTGCAGGTCGAGGCCCTGCATGATGGTCAGAGCGAGGCACGAGCACAGTGCTCGGCCTCACAGAGCCACCCAGAGGGATTTCTATAGGTAATAACACGTGGTGCAAAGGAACAGGCCTTAAAGGGGCTGGAATGCGGAGCAGCCCCCAGCTCCCACCTTTGTTTCAGGACACAGAGCTTCATCAGATGGTCTCTATTTGTGCCAAGGCACCCAAACAGCCAGGCCTGCTAGTGGAACTGAATATGGCTTTTTTGGGGAGGGGGAAATGGGGAGTTTATGGAAAGATGGTTATTTTAGGTGAGTTCGTTTGTATATCCTACTTTATTTCACTTAGACAAAGTGTGGCTTTTTCCCCAAAGGATTGGGGTGCCAATCTAAGAACACAGCATGGTCAGACTGGAGCCGACTGACGGTCCAACTGGGTCCAGTACTGGACAAGCACCAGATACCCCAGGGGGGCAGAGGGCAGTGGTGCAGAAGAGCCCTGCAACAACCTATGCCAATGTTTGCACACAGAGATTTTGCTCCTCCTCCTCTAGCAATTACAGGTTGTCCAAAGTCCCCAAACTGAGTCTGTCTAAGGGATCCCATTCTTCATCTACACATTCCTAGCATTTAGGGAAGTCTCCTGTGTGCATCACAAAGAAGGAACTGACTTTGTTGCCTCTGATTTTTATTAGGTAGGACAAGAATGCTTTTTCCTAAATCTATACAATTTCACTAGTAGTGATGCACATTGCAGTTAAAGATGAGAACCCATCAATGCAGCAGCTGAGCGATCTGTACTTAAGAGTAGTTCATTGATGGAAATGAGACGTGCACTCATTTCTGCTAACAAAAACCTTCTGCAACACGTCTCTTAACACAGCAGCAACCCAGTGGAATAAAAGCTGAACAGGCCCATGCAAACCTACTGGGAGATTTTCTGAAGTGCTTTGCACATATCTGGAAGGAAAAAGGCAAAACAAGAGAGACATTGCAGCTCTCTGTGGTAGAGTTTGCTAAAATCCTCCCACTGAAGGTTTACCCCTATAAACTCGGCAAACAGCCCTTAGAGAAGGGACGTTCACAGGAGCCCTGTGGGGTGGGCAGAGGGCAACCAAAGGCTGCAGCACCCACCTACCTGCACTAGCCCCTCTGCTGCAGCCCAGGCAGCCCAAACAGGGGCTACACCGAGCGAGGTGACACTGCGGTCCCCGGGGGCCTTGCACAAAGCAGCTACATCCTAATTCTCCAGCGAGGCGGCACCAGGCTCGTGACGCAGCTACAGGCGGGTCCCACAGCTTGAGCTGAGCCAGCTCTGCTGGCTACAAGTCATGAATTTACTCAGCGTTCGTTGGTGTGAAGGTCCTTGTGCTTCCCTATGGCTAACATTTAGGATAACTAGCTGCCCAAATGTCTTTCCAAAACTAGGAAAGAACGAAACGCGTCTGCAAATGCTCTAGCACTTAGCTTCATTTTCAAGATAGTCACTGTTTCAATTTTAAATATTCAAGGCTGAATAAAAAGCCATTTCCACTGATACATTAAAATCAAATGAGAATTCTGCAGCTTGCAACAAGATCCATCTTTTAAACACAGCAGCATTTTCCCCAAATCTTTCCATTGCTACTGTGACATCTCTTGGGAAGTGTCCTTTTAGTTTTTCTTAATCAGAGTTTTAAGTAAAAAAAAAAAATTGAAATATAACAGCACCTTTACATTAGATATTTGCATACATGTGTGGTTTTGTTGCCAAAGGCCGGCAAAATTACAGAAAAACTTAAGATGGAAAGAATCAGCTGGCCTTGGTACTGGAACGGCTCCCAGCACAGCCTGCGTGTTCATGGTCATTGAACAGAATCACGTAATTTGCACAACGCCATTAATGAACTAATCTATCTGCTGGCTGCTGTTGTGCTGCTCCTGCGGTCTCTCCAGGAGGATGAGGTAAAGCCCAGTCTGGCTGGGCCCACTCGGCAGCCCCGTGTCGGGGTGTCTCAGCCACCCGCGACCCGCTTTGCTGCTTCCCACCCCAGCTGCCTCTCTGCTCAGGGACCACGTTCCACCGATGCGGCCTCTGCCGAGAGCCCTGCCCGTTCCTCGGGGCAGGTTTATGGAGGGTACCCTGGCTCGGCCCTTTCCAGCAGCCCACAGTGCTGAGCAACATGTTTTGCAGCAGAACAACAGTGTTGCTGCAACCACCACCACACACAACACCCTTATTCTCCCTCTTGCCAAGGTGTGGGTGTTGGAGCTTTTTGCTTCTTTTGCATCTCAACCATCCCTCTCTGCCCATGCTAATAGAACTACTGGATTATGGCAAAATTCAACAAGAGTGCAGGCTGCCACCTGCTACAGACACGGCACTGCGCTGTTTAACACAGAGGCCAGAAACTGCAAGCTGACCAAGAGGCAGGGTCCACAGAGAAAGGCTGCTCGCTGCTCCCTTCCTGGTGGCCACACTCCCTCAGGAGAATGCTCCAGCTTTAAATTACACGAGGCTGCTTGTTTCACACTAAGAATTTTAGGATCCATGCAAGACAACAAATAAACTGATTAAGGATTAAATGACTGAAAACTCCAGATGCTATTTAACAGCAAGCTTCCTATACCTCCTGACTTGGAAGAGGACTGAAATCTTGTTCCTCGGTGTATCACATCACCAGGTGATCACCACGCTAGCACATATTCCAACCAGGACTCCTTCCCCTGCGTGCACTACTTGCTTATAAAATACACCTTATTTATAAGGTTTAAAAGCAGGAAAGAGAAATAAGAGATAAGAGTCCAGGCTCAGAATATCTCCACTGATTGCATATGAGCACATGAAACCATCACTTGTGGCACATCCGAAATAACTGTATTTAAACTGAAATGCCAAAACATTCCCAAGAGTATTTTCTGAAATGTATTAAGGAGGGAAAGAGAAGGAATCTTCCTTAATGTCATTATTCCACTAGTTTACGTGCTGTGTAGACAGGTTTTGGTAAGATCTCTCTCTCTCCTATCAAACACATTCTAAGAAATGAAATGATGACCAGGTTTCAATCCAGAAAGCCCACAGAATACACCAGGTTCTGCAAAGCTACCTTCTCTGCAACACAAACCAACAGTCTAAATATCATATATGACTTTCCATAGAACCAGTTTGGGACAGCTGTGAATACAGACAAGCAGTAGCTATAAGATACCACCTACATATATATGAGGAGCCCACAGCTCTTCAAAACAGCCCTGCGTTTCCTGCACCAAGGTGGATGTGCAATAGCAGTTACTTTTGAACAAGCTCTCTCCAGAAAAGGTTGCATTTCCTCTCTAATTTTACATTATCCTTTCTTCTCTGACCAATAAAAAGCGTGTCTTGCAGTACAAAGTCCGTGTACAAAATAATGCACTTTGTGGCACTGTGCAGCCCTTTAAAAGGCTCTATCTGCAACACAGAGCAGTTACAGGATTGGATATCTCTGAAAGAAAATAACATAATAACAGTAGTATTAAATATAAGTCATAGCACCTTTGGCATTTTTGTCCAAATAGACTTCAACATATGACGTAGGGACATAACCCTCCTCATCTTCATTCCTTCGGATTCGTGTCCACCCATCACCTTTGTCTTCCTCTATTACATACAGCATTTCTCCTTCTGCTACAGAAATTGTTCCTTCATTCTGACCTGAAAGACACAGTAACATGCAATTCAGGGAGGTTCAAAGGGGGAGCTCTTGAACACCTAACACAGAACATTTTTCCATCAGTAACAGTAGTTTGTAGAGTGCTTGGTGATGACATGGTTTGAAACTTGTCTCCAGAAAGCACTGCCTCTGCAAAAATTCCCAGGGGGACCTTCAGTAAGAAAGGGCTGAAGCACATGCCAGGAATGAAGTGGGCAGAAGAGTAACCAGCTATATTCTGGTTTGCGATTCTCTTAGTGCATAGAGTCCCACATAAGAAAAATCAGTGTCTTGGTGTCCCTCTACAACACAAAATTTCAGCAGAGCCTCTGGCACTTTCTTTGTCTATTTAAGCACTGTAGGGGTTAAACGAGTGCTTCCTAGTTGTGTGTGTGACACGAACCACGTAGAACAGTAAGAACAATAAAGGACAAACAATACCTTCAAATGTATATAGAGCTTTACATGTTCCTATAGTGGGTAGTGGTTCTTCATCATCAAATTCATCATCGAAATCTGTCGCAGGTACTTTCATCTCAGTCTCCTGACTTTGCTCTTCTGTGTAACTGCCATCCGGGCTGCTCAAGAGAGGAAAATACACAGCAACTATAGCAACCAGCCCCAGGAGCAAAGGGGATGACTTGCTTACCAGACACTAAGGTGAGCAACTGCAGCTGGGGCAGCTCAGCTGCTCCAAAGCACACTTAGAAAGAGCTGCTATCTGTGGCTGCCATCACAATGTCATGAGGGCCATTCTTCCCCATTAAGACCTGTACAAAGCAGCTCTCTCACCTTCACAGCCAGCTAGAACACGTTTCATTATAATCAGAAGCGCAGTTCTTTTGCTTTGTACCTTCCACATGCTAAAATTAGTATGCCAGGCTACTCATGGAGCGCTCTCCTTCAGCCTGGTTGTGGAGCAAGCTCCCGAACGCCGCAGGCTTCTGCTTCCCTTGCAGGGAGAAACTTCACCACGGAGCAAAGGGAAGCGGGTGAGGAGCAGGCGAGCTCTGTACAGATACTGTACCTCTCCCGGTCCTGAGCACAGCTGTTCACTGCCGACGTGTTCTGGGCCTCATAGAGGCCGCTCTGGCGCCGGGCATGGTCAGTCCGCGCGGGCAGCCTGCCCTCCACCTCAGCCAGCCAGCCCTGCAACGGGAAAGCAGCCCTTTCGCACCCCTCGTGTCGCCCTTTGCAAAGGGACACACGTTGCCTTTATTTTGCTACGTTATATTCGACATTCAGAGCAGGGAACTAAACAGAGAGGGTAAACATTGAAATTTGCTTTCGAATACAGTAGTTAGAGGATATATATTTTGCATTCTAAGTGCATATTAAAAACTCCAGTCTTGCAAAAAATAAATCACATGCTTGCTGAAAACTTGGCTCTTTTGCAGCATGGGGTGCCAAAAACACTGCGACTTGAGAGCAGCAGGTAATGACAGGTGTCCCAATGCTGCTGCTCTAGTCACAATAAGGAGGAAAAAAGATCTGTGGCAGTATATGGTAGTCTCAATAACATCAGAAGCCCAGCAATCTCATAGACTGCTGAGTGCACGAGGCCTGAAGTTGGGGGAAAGAGTCAGTCATTTTCACGAGGATAAGTAAGCAATAGATAATAAAGTAAACAACTGGAAGAAGTCTATAAAATTAATTGGCTATATCTATTTATGTGCAGCCTTTCCTCAGCTCTATAACCCTTCTAGAGTAATTATGGTAGACGTTTCTAATGGCTTCAGTTATTTCAACTACTCCTTATGCTCCTGAGATTTTGCCTAAGAAGCTTCCTGCTAATGGCAGATTGTTCCTCAAAACACATTTCAGCTGATGGCTTCTATCTTGCTGATAGACTTTGAAGTGTGCTTTTATTAACATTCATCTTTTTTTCCACAGACAGCTGTAACGTGATGTTCTTCATTAAATAAGCATCCAAATTCTTCTGGGCAGTCCAGAGAACATGGTATTTTCCCCCTCATCCTCTGCTCAGCATTATTTGCTTTCTGTGTCAAATTAAGTAGCAGGGTTGTTGGCTGACAATCACAAGAGATGGTGCAAATCTGTGTTACACAAATAGGCCCACAGATCTTCATTAATACAAGTGCCTAAACAATCCTTATCTATACATAGCAAGAAAATGCTTCAATAAACCTGCCTGTAAAAGCACTGAAGCACCCACTTACAATTAAACATACGCTGAACTGCTAGGTACTGAAGCAGGGCACCAGCATCCCAGAAATACATTTGTTCTGCTGTACTTCCCATACCTCAAATTTCTGAACTTCTATTCGTAACTTTTCAATGTTCTGTCCGAGTTCTGCTAATCTGTGGTCCACGCTCGCTGCATCTCCCATCTGTGGGTTCTTGATATACACATCTTTCATTTTCGTTAAGGCATCTCTGGCAGATAGAAGAAAAATAAAACATGGTGTAAATGTTGATTCAGCTGGGGATAAATCCCATTCTCTGAGGGAAAAGAAAAGGATAAACTGCCTTCTCTTAAACCATGGTTAAAACCTTACCTGTCATGAGAGTAACAACATCCAGACAGGGATTTTTCTCCCGCACAGAGCCAGCCATTTATAAATAGCAACTGTAAAATTCCTTGCCAGAGAAAAATTATACATAGAGAGATGAAAAACAGAGCAAAGCCTTTACCTACAATGTGATATGTGACACCATGCTCAGGCGTCGCACTAAAAGAAGCTCTTTATTCCCCAAGCAGCTGGGGATTCTTCCCTGGGAGTGAGGTCAGCTGAAGGAGCCCTCCCAGGGAACGAAGCCACAAGATGTGCTGTGTTGGTACAAACAGGCAGCATATTTAGACCAAGGGATTGAAGCTCTAAGTGTCCCACTTGAAAAATCTCAGCAGAAAACTGACTGAAATCCTCAGCAAGGAAAAAAGGAGGACTATCTAAGGCAGGGCATTGACTTTGAGCATGCCATGCTTTTTATTTAATACCAAGCTTTCCACTTGCTCTCCTGGGCAGGAGAGGAGGGAAATCTTGCAATTACTGCAAGGAGCAACGATTTCAACTTTCTAGATGCTTTAACTTCCCGGTTTGGGAACAGAAGACAAATGGTTGCATTGTTCTTCTCCATGGTACACTGAATTCCAATTTAGAAACTGGGACAAAGAACTGCACGTGAAACCTATTAATAATAAAAATGGAGTGCTACCTGGAAATTCTCACCCTACCTGTTGCCTTTTATCTTTTGCAATGCAAATCACTTGCAAAACACTCATTTCTCACTGCTTAAAATGAGACCAAATCCAGATGGTTTGTATTTGTCACTGGGTAGCAACAGAGAGACCTTGGCTACATAATTGCCCCTGCTTTCTGGTAAGTGATGCAGTATTTTTATTAGATCATTTCAGAAGAAGATGCATCAATTTAGATGCCAAATGCCCAGGACTTCAGAGACTGCAGTTTCCAGGGAAGCCTAGGGAGCTGTCACCAAAGCAATGTGCTGTCTTCAACCCAGGACAGCTGGAGGCTTAACTTTAAAAACAAAACAGAACAAATATTCATCATCATGATTTAAGAGCTTAGAAATGGGTGAACTTACAAGCAGATTTCCTGCATTTCTGACAGGACTATTCAGCTTTTCTCCAAGCATTATTTTTTGGGGGAAACAAAGGTTAATGTTAGTCCCATGACTCGAGTTAATGCTCTTTATATGTTAGAGTTTCCCACCAAACTCTTTGACAATTGCAGGCCTGTGCTTGCTTTTGCTCTGTGTGAAGAGAAACTGGGAAAAAAAGTGTGGGTGGCAAGGAAGTGGGACTGCTCTGTTGCTGGAGCCCTAGGGGACAATATTCACATATGTGAGTCATGATTTTTAAAAATGCTATATTTAACTGCTGATGCTAATTCCCTACTCAATTACATGCTATGTTTATTTAAAATAACCTCATTTTGCTCTGATTTTGTACCAGATTTTAACTCTGGATTTCCTTGGAATCAATAGAGACCACAAAGGAAAAATCTTTAAAGATTTTGAAAAAAACAGCACGTGTAAAACAAAAGTAACACATCTGTGTGCTGTCGTCCTTTGTTATTCAGGATATGAAATATAAAAAAGAAATCCTGGGTTATCAGACCAAAATACGCAGATATTTGCAAAGCAAACCTGCAGAAAACTCAGGCACAACTGTACAAACACAAAACACCAGCAATATTTAGGGACAGACCACTATCGGAGAGAGGCTAAATCCCAAAATCCTTCAGGAAGGAAAAGTTGTGTCTCCCACAAGCACCACATGCTGAATCTTTATCGTAACTGCAGGAGCTGGAACGCGAGCAGACATTGGAAGCAGCAAACACAGGTTGCCAGAATCAACAAAAAGCGAGTAGCTAGAAGGGCCTCGTTCTCAATCAGAACAACAAATGCAGCTTCACAGAAAAGCACATTCACAAAAATACAGGACTCATCTCTTCTGCTTCCATGAGACGTATGCTACACGTCAGAGAGCCCCAAGACCCGCACCACTCATCAGCGCTTCTGGTGCTGTCACGTTCATAATCACCTCTCTCATTGGGATCTCCCCATGTCTAATTTTGCCTGTCATGTTAATAAGCAACTTTGTAATTATAGACCTCAGCACTGAATGTTTTGATTAAGAGTAGGTATTTAAATCTTGTACTTTCTTTCAAAAGCTCAGGAGCTGCTCACATCACACTGATCCTTATCTGGTTAAAACTGAACTGCTGGCATCCTTCAGCCCAAGAAAGCAGCTCCAGAAAGAAGGAAAAACCCTCTCCAGTTGCTTCTCTTCTACTGTACCCATCTTTGTTTAAGAACCTTTTGTGCACCCAGGGGGGTGAGCAGAATTCGCTGAAAGTCAACTCCTCCTCCAGCTTTGACCTCTACATCAGCAAAAACTAAGTAACTGATATCAGAGCTTGAGTTGTGGAGTGAACTGCAACTCTTTCATATGTTTTTACTTACATAGCACTCTCTGTTTATTTTTTTCTTGGAACAGCACCTCAAACAAGCCAGGAACCTAGTTTGTATTTGATCTTTCTTGTATTTTACTTGTTTACAGTATTCTTCTAAATAAGACTACCTTCTTCATTTTCATGGTAGAGGGCTGACTTACCTTTGATCCATCTCCTTCTGAATGTCCCTGTTTAGTTCATCCACTTTTTGCTGAAGTTTCTTTCTTCTTTGCTCAGGTGGGAGATTGCTGAAATCTTCTGGCCCTGCTCCCTGCACAGAGTGGAATGGAGGGGGAAAAAAGTTAAAAAAGGAAAAATGAGAGCCTGCAAGAAGCTGTCAGAACTACATTCTGAAAATTGCTTACAGAAAAGTCTGTGCAAAATCCCTATGGTCTGAAGCATTGTCAGTTTTTGCCTTGAAAGAGCTTGGACATGGAATGGTTTGGGAACGACAAAGCTTCCCAAGTAATGGAAATGCTTCCTCTGGACCTACTCAACTGGAAGGAGGTCCTGCTGCTGCGTGCGGCACACACAGGATCCATGCCCCTGCCAGGGGCTCTTCTCTTGCCCCTGCATAAAACCAGGAGCGCTATCAAAGCCCCAGTCAGTCCATCCAAAATCGTAACTGAAGTCAAGCTTTCAGGGCTGCAGCAGCCACCACTGGGGGATTCTGCTTGAACTAGCACCTCCTTTCTGCCTTCCAACTGCTAGGCCTCTTCCACATTGCTCCGGCCATGCAGAGCAGGCAGGACGTGTAACATCTATGCTCTTTTCTTCCAAGTACCACCTATATCTGGCTGGCAAGAAGGATGGTTTTGGTGGGTTATACTGAAGGCAATTCAACACTAATTAGCTTTGCTATGAAAGAGTCAAGTCTAGGCTGATAAGTGTAAATTTTTATAACTTTTATTTTGGTATCTGCCCCTTCTATGTATCATTTCTAATAGGGGCTGCTGGAATCTGGGAGAAAGAAGGGGGACAAACACAAAACCAAGTGACCAAATTCAGTGGCCTAGGAGGTTACTGGAAACTTGTGATCAAAACTGCAGTGCTCATCTTACTAAAATGCTGAGTATCCTTCTCAGAGGAGCGTGATTTAGTGGACACCTTGTCACTAAACGCTGCTTATCAGACACCTGCAACCTCCAAAGAGTGTGTCCGTGACACAGGGCATGACCTTCTGCATTTGTTGGATGCAGCTTGCAGGGAAATATGCAGGTGTCCAAGGCATGGAGGGCAACTGCAGAGGTCCCCGGCTCCTCCTGCAGCCTAGCACCGCAGGCTCCGCATCCCTGCTCCCAATGCTTCAGACCAAGGGGATAATGCTGCACAGGAAGCATGCCTGACCCTCGTGGGGATCTCACAGGGTTTGTTCCATGCTTAGGACCATCCCGTCACAGCGGCTGCAGTTCCTCCTCTGCAAGGAGGAATCAAGGAGCTGCTCTCGCACATGCTGGCTGTGTTTCATGCTCTCAGGCAAACCAAACCACCCCCCGGGATCTTCTCTCAAGGAGTGAAGGTCACCTGTGTTTTCCTATAAATGCTTTGCAGTGCAGTGGTGGTGAGGCACAGCTGTGATATTTCTGATGTGCTGTCACAGGAACAGCAGAGACAGTGCTCACGAGACATCCTTGCATGAAAGGACTGGAGTTTAGGATGCAAATTATAAACTACAGCTGCAAAATGAAGGACCACATGAAAGAGGTGGTCACGTCTAGACTGGCTCCTAGGCTGAAGTTCTAGTTTGAGCTTTCCTTACAGCTAGGAGCTACTAGCAGGTCACCAAGAAGCCACTTTTCTTCTTGGGCACTGCCAGGTCTTAGTGCTCTCTGCTCATCTTTTGGATTTGTAAGTTTTGGGGTTGAGGGAAAGGCAGGTCAGCCATGTACTTGGGAGGATGTATTCCTACATACAAAAGGCTGGACTCAGCAGCACAACACACTGGAGCTCTGGTCAGAGAAGCAGCAAATGGAAATCCTTGGTAGAAACATTGCAGAGCAGCCCAGTGGCTTGGTAACAACTGAAAAAGCTGTGAGCAAACTGGAGTCTAGCAAGTTTAATCCTGCCTCTTGCAGGTCTTGGTTAAGAAGCAAAATCAGTGCTTGGGAAAGACCCCGTGTTCTACAGGGCAGCACCAGGGCCTGAAACACCCCCAGCGCCGTAGGCAGAGCTACATGTGGCAGCTTCGGAGGCAACACACAAGCCTCAGAAGGAGCTGCTAGGAGTGGACCAGGTTCCAAGGGTGAATCCTGGCTCAACGTGCATGCCAGGAGACAAACGACTGACAAGGACCAAAAAAAAAAAAAACTTCCCAGCTCGCGCAGGTCACGAGCAGCTGTCAACTCCCCGGCGCTGCCTCGGCCACCGCGTGAGGTGGTCGGCACGTCCAGGCTCACAGAATCGCCCTGCCCACACCCGCTCCCCGGCCCTCTCCAGCTCACTAGCCTTATTTCCTTACCGTAACTCCAGAAACCTGCCCAGCTGCAGCCAGGATAGAATTTAGGATTCATATATACACATTATCATTGGCAAATTCAGATCGGGCTGAGTTAACTTTCTGGGTTAAGGTTTACAGAACTTTTAATATAATTATTGGTTATTTTGGAGGACTACGTAGGGCTGTAAAATGTAGGTGATAATGGTGCCAACTTCCAGTAGTGCCTGGACACAGAAAGCAACTTTGCAGCTGTTTCCAGTTACACTAAAGACTTGCATTTCTCTCTATAAATGGTCCAGCAGACATGCCGAGACCACTGGTTTTTAAATGCTTTAATGTATACTTCATACTGTAGCAGAATTACTTGATTTTTTTCTACATTTTCATAGCCCTAGATTATAAAAATATACACTAAACTAAGTATTAGAGTTAATGTTTTAGCAGCTTATTAGAAGGATTGAATTCTGATCACCTCTATTAGACTCCAGACCTGTGTATTCAGAGTTATCTGATAAATATCAAAAAAAGCAAGACACAAAGAAACAAATTTAACAATTTCAGTGTCAGGTCACACGTGGCACGGTGCACATTAACACACACAGAAAATAGTGATTAAAACACAGGACATGCATGCTGTAAATGTGCTTACCAGCTTGAGAGAAAGCTTCATGTAAAAATTGGAGAGATACAGGAGAATCAAAAAAAAAAAAAAAGAGAAAGAGAGAGAGAGAGAAAAAACAACAGTGCATCAGTAGAAGAGGAACTGCTTGGGATTGATGTTACAGTAAAATGACACACATCCCCCTCAGCGCTGGGCCGTGGAATGGGTAACGCTAAGAGCTCAGTGCAAAAGTTCACAAGGGGAGCGACCCGCTGCCATGTCCTCGCCGAAGCAGGAGGGGAAAAGCCTTGTACCTCTATACAGGTGCTTTGGTAGCGCAGGGGACACGGGGCCCGGGCTGCTTCGTTTGCAGCCGCCGGGACAGCAGCGGTGCTGCTCTCCTTAAGGGAGCATCTCTGATGCAGCGGCGGGAAGAGCTCAGGGCTTGCGAATAGAGGCGAGTCGCTCAAAGACCAAAAATGTGCCGAAAAGCAGTCACAAGTGTCAGTGTATTAGACATGGGGGCCAAGGGGGACTGCTGCTGCAGAAAGCACTTGGGGGATCTCCTTAGAAAGGGAGCCGAGCTCTGCCGCCTGCGCTCAAACGGCACCATCCCTGACCCAGCCACAAGCACCCTGTACACGGCACTCCTGGTAGTTACTTCATGTGTTTCGTGTCCTTGAAACATTCATAAGGAAACACTCATCAGCTGAAACTTCCTAGTGCTATATGGTCAGACAACACCGGGACAAAGGAGATAAACTCCTCTTTTTATGCCCAGTTCATCCTACAACAGCATCCTCAGCTGCTCTTCGGGCTCTTTAAACAATATATAAGGCAGAGTACTTTAAAGGTCACCACATTTCCTGGTATAGACCCAAACCGTTATTTCCTAGCTACTCTGGGCAAGTGGGAGTGTAAGAAGGGAAGCACATGTTTAAAATGAGGGAAAAAAAGAGAAAAAAAATCCCCCACAGGCCTTGCCCAGCAGCAGGTTGGCTCTGCCCTCTAGCACGTGCCGCTCTCCCTAACGCTGCTGGGCCTCAAACTGAGGGATGAACAGATGTGGGTGGGCAGGGAGCCCCCGACGGACCCCAACAGCCCAGGGACAGCTGCCATTGCCACCAGTCAAGGGGACTAAGAGCATTCGGGTGTCTCCTGCACCCAGAGCCTGAGCTGTTTGAGACGGAAAACAGGAGCATCAAATCTGAACCTGGAGCTGCCCAAATAGGCTTGCTCTGTGCTCCAGGGAAATGCAAAATGCAAGTCAGGAAGCGCCTCTCTCTGTAGGCAGCAATCCATCTTGTCAAGCTTCTGCAAAATACCCTCCTGGATATGGTGCTTTCACACTTCCTGACGTGATTTTTATAGCCAAAGCAGCACTCTTTACAATTAGATTTAAAATAAAGGTAGTGCCATCAATGCATTTGAAAACAGGTTTAAGAGGCAGGAAAATTTTCAGATATAATCATTATTATTAATCAGCAGATTTTATGCAATAATAGAGGACAACCATCAAATGAAAAATATAATCACTGTAAAATAGTGAAATATTCCATTAGAAGCGATCCATCCTGTGACAGCACGGCTTCCCCTGAGGCTCGGCCCATTAGTAAGTAAATACACAGCAAGAACCACAGCACAACACTCAAATTAACTCTCTTGGCTAAGGGGCCGTTGAGAAAAACAATCATTTTTGAGGGAAATAATCATTCTAGAAGGCGGCAGAATGCGTTAAAACATTGCAGGAGGAATTTGGTGGAGGCAGCCTTTATGTGCACAACGGCTTTGCGTTCCTGTGAACTTTAGCAGAGACATGATCAGCACAAACTAAGGTTCTCGCACATCTATACAGACAACATTCACGGTGCAGGAAAGGTATTTACCTACAAAAGCACTCTATAGAGGCACAAATGTATGCTACATGCGCTACATCGTAAACACTACTCACTCGAAAGCCACTACGCTACTGCAGGGGACCCTCTGCATTGAGGCTACCCTTTTGCTGTCAATTCAGCAAATTTCAAGAGGATTCCGGACACAGGATTGCCAATTTTAACATTGTTAAGTAGGAAAAGAACAAACTTATTAATAGCATTTCCATCCAAATAGTACTTTAGGGATTGTTGTAACCAGTACAAATAGTGCAGGTCATAGATGGAGAACAACGAAATGCTGAAACATGTCATATTTATTCACCGTTTTCAGTTTCTGAAAGGTATCAGTAATTTCATATGTCAATAATTCAATTTCTGCAAACAAACATCAACAGTCTGAAAACAAATCTGCATTAAGCATTTGCTAAAGAGCTACTTTTGCCAATTCTGAGGGGTTTTCACAGCTCGAAACTTGCTGAGCTCCCGGGAGAACAGCGGCATTTCCCCCCTCCTCCCCCGCACAAACAAGTAATTCCATTTCCACAAACGGAGCAAATCGGTTTCAAGCTGTCAATTTAGATCAGGTCTAGCTTCGTCTTGCAGGGAAAAAATGAAGAGACTAAGAGCCACAAGCTTCAATAACACATGAGAGCACATGAAGGCCAGCAGGTCCATGTGTTATTGGACAGGCACAGGCACTAACCTCACTTACACAGGACGGGATTGAAATAACCCCCGAGTTTTCCATAGAGAAGAGGTAAATCTATTTCTTAGTGGTTCTGTAGCAACCTCCCCTGTATTCTGCTTTCTCAGAATGTCAGGTGTAGGAGTCACATCTCGATCCCATGAACTATCAGCGTTACAGAAAGCTCAGGGAAGCGTCAGGAAGCGGCACAGTGCTCTCCCACCGAGGCAAAAAATGCTCCACGTGCCACCGCACTGCTGGAATTTAGGAGGTTTGGTCAATGATGGTCAAGACCATATTCAAAACCTCATGCAAATAATTTGGAATAAATGCATGGAACCCACCCGTAGGAGGACTAGGATTTCTATGCTGTTACTCTTGCTACTCAGGCAAGGGCGCTTTAAGCAGGTTCTGCATCAGAGTCTAAATTTCTCAGGTCCAAGCATTAATTGTGCCAATTTCAGCATTTCTGGGACTAGCAGATGAGCCTTGCCTGCACATCACGCACTGAGCTGTAACTCGCCTCTCCCAAATCCAGGATTTTCCTTTCAGCTTTTCCAAAGCACATTTCCACAGCACACTCCGAGGGCGTTGTAAGTGGGGTTAGCGACTGTGCAGCCAAGGTATGGGTTCGTCACACCATACACAGACTTACAACGTATTCCCTAGCCTCAATGGCACACGTGGGGGTCCCTAAAGTCCTCTTCATGAGTTCTTTGTGAAAATACAAAGACTGGGTCTGCTGGCGGGTCAGCAAGAGAAAAACACATCCGTTACGGTGGAGACGAACAAGATATCTCTACGTTTACTGCCTTCTACAGCAAAAGACAGCTTAGTGTTTAGCCAGCCTTTAAGTGCCAGGGGAAACTTGCTAGCAACTACATAAACGGGCAGGGGGGTTAGTATTTTCACAAGAAAAAATAACTAAGCACTATGTTTTTAAAGGCTAGCTTAAACACACCAGATCAGAAAACATCTTCATTCAGGTTGGCATGAATCAAGGCTTTAAGCACCCCTACCCGCCAAGAAAGCCCAGGTCTTGGAGTAATATATATTAAAAGAATAACGATTCCCATGGTCAGGAAACAGAGCGAGAGGTTGGTTTCTGTTTGCTGATACTGGGCAGTCACAGGGAACAAGGCACAAATCACTGGGGCAGACCAAGAGCTACGAGTCCAGGGAAGAGAGAACACAGCAGGGCACGGAGGGAGGACGAGACAAGGAAACACAAACTGGTGCAAGGGCTAGTTTCACCGAAGGCTACGAGTTCTACTAGAAAAGAAACCACAAAAATCCCTCCGCTGGATGCGACAGAAGGGCCTGGAGCTTGGAAGCTGGTTAAGGACAAGAGGAGTTGCGTCCCAGCTCCCAACCCCATCTGCTTTCTGTCCCATCTCAGCCCAGGCCGAGTAGAGAAGGGCAGAGCAGGTCTGCAAAAAGCCACACAACATAATTCAGAGCAGTAAGTTCTACCCCTGGATTTTCTTTTTTTTTGTGTGTGTAGAAGTACAGCTCTTTAAAAAAAGAAAAAAAAGAGAGGCTGATGTTATTGCCGCTATAGCAATAAAACAAAAGAACACAAAATTAATATCAAGCAGCAGATACCGAGTTTTCTTTGTCCTCTAAATGGAATTAGAAAAAGCAGAGCAAGCATAAATGAAGTTATGTCTTATGCAAGTGGTTCCTCATTTTTTTTTTGGGGAAAACGACTTCCCTAAAGACATAAGTTGTTTTAAATAAATTTCTTTCTTATACTGCCCTTCTAAAGAGTTATTAGAAACAGCACTCCCCAAAATTACGTGCAAAAAACCCCTTTTCCCCCTTCTTTTCTAGTTGAGATCGGTAAGTGCTAGCACAGTCCTGCAGAACTCCCTATAATGGACATTTCTCCTGCTGCTAGGGCTAGAAAAAAAGACAACTTGAAGGAAATAGGAAAATGTGATTAGAAAACCATAGACACTGACAAGACTCAGCACCTAAAACTATTTGTTAAGTGACTAGGATTTCACATTGGCAGTGATCACTGATAGTCATATTGGCTCCTCTACATTAACCTTGCATCTGTTGTAAATTAATTGCTCAGGCATCTGTTTCCTTCTATGAAAATAAGATTCATAGGATTTTTGGTTTGGAAGCAAAATAAAAAGCAGACTGGGCACAGTACCTATTAGCAATTATAAAACTACTTTTTAAATCAGTCACCGGTGATTTTCCTGCTTTTATCAGTTTAGTAATTTCTCCCTCCCAATGCAACGTAACACGGTAAATCAGAGCTCATGTGGAAATGACTAGAACATCCTGTCTATCCAGACACATTCTGATGTCAAAGATTTTGTGGAGAAACTGTATGGTCATCTATTCAGTCGCTTATGCCTAAAGGATCGAGTACAACGTGCAGTTCTGCTCCCTTTGATTTTTAGCCTCTCAGGGGCTTGATGTGCACTAGCCTTGTTCACATTAAGTAGTTTTCACCTTTGGAAGCTAATGCAGAAAAGGAGCATGACTCAGTTTGCTGGGAAATAAATTGTTATAGTGATTTTAGCTGGAGTTAATGGCTCAGTTTTAACCAAGCTGAGAAGGATTTTTGGACAACTTTGTTGCGTAACCTAAGATAAGATTTTAAATCTCTTGCAGCTAAATTCCCCACAAGGTGTCTGGCTGGAGAGGGATTTTTGTCCCTGAGCAGCAGCAGACACAAGATTCAGATGAAATTCTTCAGTGTGCAGAGCCAAACACCCGTTACGCCGCGCTGTGCTGCTGCCTCCCCACGTTTCCTTTCCAACTGTTGCTTTACACTCGTGCATCTCTCTGCACAGATCAAGAGTTCTTTTGCTAAACAGTTTCTCCCCACTCCCTCCCTGCCCAATTTCTTTGGTAAAAATCTCAATCCAGTATTTGCAGCATTATAACTCATTCTCAGCTACAAAATTGGGTATCCTTTTGGATTGCGCAGGGGGAAAGCGGAATAGAGAGGACTCGAAATGGAGCTTTTGGAAATTAAATTGCTATGGTAAGAGCAGAATTAACGGCTGAAATTAATGCTAATCATTCATTTGTCCTCTGACAAAATGACAAGATTTGGGGATGCTTTTTTTTCCCTAAAACAAAACAAAAAACACTTCCTCTTTTTGGCCAGGGTAGAGGGCTGAGGTTTTTTAAGGCCATAAGGCACTTTTTGTGACCTTTCAGTCCAAGCCCTTGCACAGCACCAAGCCCAGCCCTGCCCTCACAAGCTCTGGCCACTGGGACCTGTGTAATGTGACCTCTCCAGATAATGAAAACAGAAGGTGCAAACGGCCAGGGCTCAGCTGCCCCTCCTGCCGTTCCCTTCATCTAGAAGTGCAGAGCTTGCCCCGCTGCAAGAAGATGGGATAATCCCGGCGCTGGCTTCCAAATCTGCTGCATGACTCAGGCAGGAAAAGTATCTGCAAACAAACATCCTGGTGGTCACCAGGGGAAGGAAAGGAAATAGAGAGAAAAAAAGAACATAGTGAAAGGTTTAAATGAAGATTGAGCAAGAGCCCTTCCTTTTGTGTGTTAATGGATGTCAGCAGCAATTAAGAGGGGATTCCAAAGAAATCTATAGGAGAGTGTTTGCTCCTCCCTGCATGGCAGCCTGAAGCAGCCTTACAGGAGCTAACCCACAAGAGCTGCCTCCAAGGAGCACATCCTCCTAGTCTGCTCTTCAAGTAGAACTGAAAGACCCTTTTCTGCCTTGTAGAGCCACTGAGAAAAGACACCATAAGCCAAACTGTGCAACTGAGGGGAGGGAAGGAGGCCTGTTTACAGAACACACCTTACAATAGCTTAGAAACTTTCAGCTTCCTCATCAAAAAGCCCCGGAATTGTGCTTCTTTGGGATCTAGTCTGAATCATACTGTCATTAAATGGCAATTCCCTAGGAAAAAAGTGGAAATTTTTACATAAGAAAATTGTCTGTGTTCTTAACGTACTTTCTGTAACCAGATGATACAGCTGAAATCCTCTTTACAGCCCTGCTCTCAGTTCTCTGTAGCTAACCAACCCTGAAGTTCCCCAGTGAAATCATGTCTACTTTCACAGAACTCCAGTCTCCAGGGCTAAATGTCAGCTCAGTCCCTGGAGCAGAGTTGGGGCTTTTGAAAGTGGTTATTTCCTTGTCATTCGTCTGCTCTAAAATAAATACTTAAAAATTGTGTCTGCTTGGTATAATTAAGAGGAAATAATTCTACAGCTCCTAACTTAGGAGCCAAGGCCATATTATGGTAGCAGCTTCTCAGTGTGGGCTTGCTGGAAGAAAATCTGTTCACTGAGAAGAAAGAAAAGTTCCATCTTGGCTGTTATTTACTTAATGACTACAGCATACAAAAAACACCAGGAGTGGCCTCATGTTGAAACACCAGCACCTTAATGTCACTTCACTAACAGAGCCCCAAGTCTTCATGGAAGCCATTGAAAACACAAGAACTAGGGCTATCAACTCAAGGGCAGGGCAGACAGATGCCACCTCGTGTCCTCTTCTCTACAGTTCATTACTGCTTATATCTGTTTCTTTTTCCATAGGCGTGTGACTAACTGGTAATTCAGGATTCAGCCCTGTAAGCATGTGGGGTTAGTCTGGAATCAAAGCAAATCTTCTCATCTTCCTGAGATGTCAGGTTCCTGGATACAGTTAAGATCCTTGGGAAGTGTCAGCCCCAAACACTTAAAGCTGACTGCAATTCCTGTATCTAAAGGTGATGCAGAGAACAGAGTTCCCTAATGTCACCAACACGAAGGTCCTGATTTAAAGGAAGCTCATATCTTGTAAGTTAAAGCTCCTTTAGTGCCACCTAAAGCACTCCAGGTTTCCCGACCCACCTGCCTTATCTTAAGAGTAGGACTTAGAGAGTAAGCAAACACTCCAGCCCTCGGGCACTGCCTGGACCTGCTGTTCCCACCACCACACAAGAGACATCAGGTCTTTTCAGTGAAGTGCCTGAACCTGCCCCAACTGAAGGCCAAAGGATTGTTATCTAGAATCCCTCCTCATTCACTCTCCTCCTCCTGACAGGGATGCTGAGCTGAATCCACGCTACAGAGAAGGTTGCTCATGGTTAGTGGTGATACACTGACCATCAGGACCACAGAGAGCCTCTCCATGGCGCTCCCTGAAGCCAATCTGCTGCAGATACATGCGAAGCCACTGAACTACTGACTTAGCTCAACTTTGGGATGTTAACATAAGCACTACAATGCTGAGCTGCTCCACCCACACTTCAGATCAGCTTTCCCCTCAAGAATAATAGGTAATTTTGATTGGGAAGTGTGTTTTTTGTGGTTTCACAGGGGTGTTTTTGACTACAAAAGGCTTCCTACTTTGTGATTCCTTGGATTTGCCTGCATGTCATGATAAAACACAATAGATTCATTCACAAAGCAAAACAAGTTTTTTACATAAACAGAACGTGCAATAAAAGCGCAAGAAAAAGAAAAAGAGAGAAAGAGAGAGGTATCCAGAGGAGAACTTACCCCGCGCTTTAGGCTCCTGAAGCAGTGGATTTTAGGTTTGGAGGTCATGAACTCGTTGAAGCGATGGGAGAGGGGTTCCTTTTGCTGCTTGGGAGACTGGGGGCCGTTGGGAACAGCAGAGGGTGAGGCAGAGGCAGGGGGAGGAGGAGGGGGCTGATGGGGGGATGTTAAAAGGGACATAAGCTACGTGTAAGAGATGGAGAAGTGATAGAATCAAAACCAAAAACAAAAAGATAAAACACAAAACGAAAATAAGCATCAAAACCAATATTTGAAATCCAGAGAAAAAACAATTAAATAATTTAATATTAAAGGCCATGGTTCAAAAGGCGGAGAAGAGCAGTATTTAAGAGTTTCGCTAAATTAAAAATGCGATAAATGGGAGATTTTAGTGAATGATGCAACAGAAGAATAACACCAAGTATTTTGACAGGAAGCTCATGCAGACTTCTCCATGCAACACTATATCCCCATAAACTGCCCTATCCTCGCTCTGTGGACGGTTTGGAATAACGCATATGGATAGAGCTTTCAAATACCTGAATTTAAAGGGATCAGGACCTTAGTGCCCAGTAACATTTCTATTAGCTGGAAAAGAACAAACCACATTCCTTCCTGCTTTCAAGTCACCTCTGATGTGCATCAAAAATTCACTTTTAAGGATTCCTCTCTGACTTGGCTCGGGAGTTAGTCCTGGCTTTTGCTTCTAGTAGGCACCAGAGAGAGGAGCTCTCTCAGATCAGCCCAACGTGATGACCCCTTTTGGATCAGGCAGATTTTTGTCCTCATTCTGTGATTAGTGCAAGCAGCTTGACAAGGCTCAGAGCAAGAAGGGTGAGCTTAAAACAATGCAGCTACTCTCGGCTTGCAGCAGTGTTACTGGGAGCACAAGTAGTCCAGTCATCCTGTCACATCCCGGTAACCCCAGGTACACGCTGCCATGCATCATGGTATAAAATGTGACAATGAAATGGTCAAAAAAAAAAATAGACACAGAAGTTAATATGTCTCTTTCTGAAAAAGTCAACTGCTCAGTTAGTTATGCCCAGTTCTGTTCCACTAAAAATGAATCGCAGCAATTTCTCATCCCCAGCCACCCAAGTGCGGAACCCGCTGCAGAGACTGAAAGGACAACACAGATGAGAGGCCAGAAGTGTCGAGACAGTAACACGATGTCAAAGCTGCCCCAAATAATAGTGTTAGTCAGCACACAAGGCACTAGGTACGTGGTACACAGATCCTTCCCCGCATAAGGAACAGAAACGGACCATGGCAAAGACATGACAATTTAAATAAATATACAAACAGTAACATAATTAAAGAAATTGAACAAAAAAAGATATATAAAAACTTTAAGCAACAAAAGACTACAACAAAACACCATATTAAGATTTTAGTCATTTAAGTTTCTGAAACTAAAATTCTCTTTTAAAAAATTGTAATTGCCAGCATTACAAAACGAGGCAGAGGTTACTGACTACAAGTACACTAGCACCAAGCTGAAGTTTGCCAGTCAGTACCTTATTTTTCTTGATGAATGGCCATAACTTGCCCTTGGATTTGCTACCAAACTTCGGCTCAGACTTCCCATCCCCTCTGGAATTGGAAAGGCTGGAATCGGAGATAGTCCTCTTCATTGGCTGGGTGAAGTCCTCAAAGTCAATATCTCCCGGAGGCTCAAACCCTGATTTAAAGGCTTCTATTACCAACTGTGAATCCTGCAACGGGAGAGAGCCAGTCTAAGTGCAAACATTTCAAATGAAGTAACAGTAACGGGATGATAACGTTCGCTTGGGCCGTAAACCACCGCTTCAAGGGCTCATCCCCTGGTGAGCGATCACCTTTCCAGAGCTCAGAAACAAGACAAAACTCTTCAAGTTCAAGGCACTTGCTTTCTGGACCTGTTTTCACTAGCATGGAGCACTTTGTGTTGGTACGCTCTGCATCTCTCAATTAATTGTATGTAACTTCAGGCTCAGAGCAGCTCAGAAAATGCATTTAAATCCAAAGGCCCCAAGAAAAAAAGATATTTTTAAACACTTATGACCTATTTGACTTTCTGGGAAGGAGCTTTTTATATTACACTGTTTTAACTGTTTTCATTCAAAGATCGTTAGAGAAATTGTGCTACAACTTGCAGATCTCATGAGCCTCCAGAGAAAACGACCACCACCCTGCTCATGGAGAAAGGGTGAACTTGCCGCTTTGAAAAACCAAATCTGTAGGTGAAACAGCCCTCAGGAAAAGCTGAGTGTGATTTTTAAACACATACAGAGGGCAGGTTCAACTCAATTAAGCAAAACAGATACAGAAAGAGTTTTGTAAAAGCATTCAGGGAACACCAAAGCAAATGGAGACTTGATATCCTCAGTCTATGAGTCTATCCTCAACACAGCTTCTAAGAGCAGTCCACCACTTGCAATCATCTTACCTTAGTTTGATATTGTAACTTTAATTCTAAATATTTGAAGATATTTAATAATCATGAAAACATGGCTAACAAGGAGGAGAGAAGAGGTTATAAATAAATAAAGGTTACATTAAATACTCCACTGGTGTTTTATCTTATGCTTTTCTTTTTTCCTCTCTTAATCATACAGTGTTCCTTCTATTTATTCAAAACATCCTTCCACTACAATGGGGCTAAAAATAAGCATCATGAACCGGTTATGTGTTATCAGAAAGAGATAGTGTCATAACAGGAACTTGGAAGCCCATAACAAATTAATTCTATCTGCTGCCTGAGCTCTCAGGGGCAACCTCTGTAGCGGTTCACTCAGCAGTCACCAGAACCTACCCCTGAAACACAACCTCTGCTTGGCCCGAGATGCTATAAAAAGGGGAGCTAGAAGAGGAGCATATGAGAAACAGCTAACCAGGACTGCTCTGTTTCTCACATGCTCCTTTTCTAGCATTCTCGAATTCCTGCTCATTTTCTAGCTGGCTGCATTCTGACAGCTCCCATTGCTGCTAGGGCCAGTTTTACAGGCTTAAGGGGGCACAGAGCAATCCTATTTAGACAGTTGCAAATGGAATAATGAAACCTCCAAGTTGGGCTGTTTTGAAAGTTGGGCACGAGGCAAAACTTCATCCTCACTGTTGCTTAAATATTGCAAAATATTAATCTATTTCATTTATTGTGTTGATTCCAACTGCATCCAGTGGAAATTTGGCTTTGGAAAGACATGATTTCCATGCTTTTGCTAGTACCAATAGAAGGAAGGAACACATGGAGAACAGCACGAGAGTAATTCTTCAGTAATTCTGAATGTGATTCTTCTGGGCAGAAAAAGCGACAATAACAAAGAACACCAGTCAAGAGCTAAGCAAGAACTTCAAATAAATCACTGCCTTGTATCAGTTTCATGGTTTGTAAGGTAACTCATGCATTTCAAGGTTAGTGATACTGCTGTGGTGTTTTTATGATTATCAGATCCTGGAGATTTCCCAGCTGGGAAACACATGTCTGTGTGGGTCTCGAGTTGCACAGTGTTTCCTCCTCAGCAGGCTCTTGCGTTTACTCACTGTTGTGCTAGCTGTGTTACCACCAGCTGGCCCTGCGTTCTGCTTTCCTAGAGTACAACCTCTTATGCAAAGCAGACTAAGGCTCAGATCTAGCTAGACTTTCCTATTGAGCTTTTTCCAGGCTTGAAAATAAGGAGAGAATCTTCAGCTTGAGCGTAAAATTCATCTCCATTCAAAATTCTAGCTTAAACCTTGGGTGTTTCATCAAAAGCCTCCCTAAATACTTCAAACAGTGTTATAGAAATGAATCTCACCCTACCATGATTTTCCACATGCAGCACCAGTTGTACAGCAAAGGGGACATGGTTACAGCATGAATTTCATGTCTCATCTTTCCCTTCTCCCATTCCCAAGGCAGCAGTAACTTTCCTATCCCTTGGCTTCCCACTCCTGTGCTGCTCTGTGCAAGGCAACTGCTGAGCAGAAGTAGTGGACTCATTTCAAAACCTCAGCTTAAGGTTTATGCCACCAATTAACTGCAGTCTCCAGGCTCTGGGCAATGAAGAGCACAGAAAGGATCTCAGTAAAAAAGATGTATGGGAAATTCAAACAGCCAGCAGGACACATGTGGTTTGTGTTTGAAGCACTAATGTGATCCAGGAGAGGGGTTGAAAGAGCAGTGGAGACTTCATTTAGGGAGGCAGCAGATCATTTTGAAAACTGAACAGAAAACATATTTGCTCTTGTGTTGACTGTATATCAGGAAACTCCTCATCAGCAATTTTTTTTTTTCTTTTTACTCCTACAATAATGTTCAGTAAGTCTCTAATCTTCAAAGAAAGAGTTTATGGTAAAGCAGCAAAATATGCCAAAGTTGTATTCAATTATTTATGTGGCCAACATTGTAAGTACTTTATTATAAGAAAAGCTGAAACAAAATGTTGTTTCTGCAACATTCAGTTGTTAGATCATTATAAAGAAACATACAGAAAAAAATCTGTATAAGAATTGGTGATTATTAGATATCTAGAATGAGAGTAATACAAAGGTAGGAACCTACCAAAAGGCATGATTACAGAGCCCTCACACTGTGGTCTGGAATGAAGTTTCAAGAGTCCATACAAAGTGATCAGTAGTGAAGACTGCAACAATTCAAACAAGGCAACACTCACGTTCTTGTGATCAACCAATTCCGCTGCCTTCGTTATTTCATCCAGACACTTTCCAATGATGGGGATCACCTGGCGGTCGACCTCCGCAAAAGTTTTCATGGATTCACCTATCCTTACAATTCTTCTTTCTTCCATTTCTTGTATTTTCTGGAACATTACATTTTATTTTGATCAGACATTAGAAGCAGCTTCACAGCTTCAGTCAATTTCTCTCCCCAGCATATACCCTCTCCTTTTAAATTTATGATTTAAATACATTTTTTAACAGCTAAACTCTGCTGCTCTCATAAAAGCTAGAATTTATTGTCCCTTCAAATATCAAAATTCTTTTCTAAACGTATTATCTGTGTTACTCTAACTAGGTCTTTTTCAGTTAACTTTCCATGTTAGAAAATGCTTATTCATCAAAACCCCAGCCTTAGACTTTTGTAAGGAACGGCTCCTGCAGCTTCTAACGTGATTCCTGGAAAGCTGAACGTTTTTTTCATTTTGTGACACGTTCTGAAAGACTTTATTTCCATTCCAATAGAGAAACCGAGTGATCAAAGACTTTACATTCTCACCCCCCCCACACACACCCTCTCCAAAACCCTGGCTTTGCAGGTAGTTTACACCAAACATGCTCAACTCCCATTCTCTATTGGTCACTAGGTTCAGGGCTGGGATCTCCAGGATCCATCCCACAGCCTTGTGGTTTAGAACACGGGGAAAGTGGATGTGGCAAAACACTATTTTGGTAGATTATAACAGGGTACAGAAGGGCATGAACAAGGACTGCCTGTTTCGCATTAGGCTGCAGGAATTTGATGGAATGTTGTCAAATTAAAAAAAAAAAAGTCTGTGTAACCTTGACTGACCCACAAGCCAGCAAAACCAACAAAATACTACAATTAAAGGAAACAACAGACATTTTCTAAAAAAATAACAATGTTTTCAACACTTCAGCAACTACAATACTAGAGCTTACAGGTGTACGGCTATTGAAAAGGATCTTTCTGCAGAACTTTAGGCATGCTTACCTACAAAGCAGAACACCTAGCAGTCTTACTACGAATACAAAAGCAGCACAAGAAGTCTGTGTAATACCAAGAAAAATTTATCTCAGAATTCTGTTCTGAAAGGCTGTAGATGTCTGTTTAACTAAAAAGGTGAAGTTACAAAATGCTATGCGAATATCAATTATTTCTGATCAGATGATAAACACGAGACAATTTCTCTCTTGGAGGACTTATATTTTCCACTTCTTGATTCTTATGACCCGTTACACTGGCACGGTCATTTAGTGCCTCTGTTCCACTACATTACTTCTCTTTGTTCAAGCATGAGCTCAGACCTTCGGTCAGTATAAATCTGCTGGTGTTTTTCTTCTTTCCCTGCATCCTGTCCTAAACATCTTAAGACATAATCAGCAAATGTACTTAAGCCCTGACATTCACTAGCACAGAGCTGCTGTGGTTTAAACATCTGTGAAGTCTGATTGAGGAGAGGCTAGAAAAGACTGTGAGGCTTTACAGATGTAAGGACACCCAGCTGACTCCTTCCCCAACAAGGCAAATAATGCTCTCATTCCCCAGCTGCATGGATACAAGAGCTTAACAGAACAAGACTGTGAGCAGCTCCCCAAAGGCTGCTGTAATTTGTCACGACAACCCAACATCTCGTGCTTCATCTATTACCGATCACTCGGTATCTTGTTCAAGAGACAGAGGCCATTTATCACACCAAGCTCTCCAGCTCTTGGACTAGTAAATTGCAAAATAAAATGTGTTAACAGGAACGGAATGGACACAGAATAAAAGATAGGATGACAGTATTGAACAAGGGTGCAATACATCCCTCTCCTTATCCAGGAGAGTATGGCCTACTCCAGCTTCGTGCCAAAGGGCCTCACCTGGAAGATATTTGGTATGTGTGTGTAGTAATGATCATGCTGCTCACTGTTGAACTTCTGTAGAGTGGAGGAGTATTCTGCTTTGCTGTCTTCTGCCATTTGATGTCGCAGTTGGGCTTGCTGCCTTGCCTAAAGAAATGCCAAAAGAAATGTAGAATTTTATTATATAGAAATAAATTGCATTGCATTGCTCCTGGTGTTGCTGTCTTTGCCAACAGGCAGTACAGAAGCATCAGCATATGGGGCTCTGCACACTTCCCCTTTCAGTTTATTGCTGTTTCCTGTCATCTGTTTCATCGACAAGCTTCAGGCTCCAGTGTGCACTGCTGGAGATGAGTCCTCCTTCTCTTCTGCCACGCGTGGCATGGCTTTGCCCTCTGCTTAACTGGTATACATGCCTGCCTTCAAAATCCAGGACTTTTGCCTAAATCAGTTCAAGCAAGGCATAAAGCATGGTTTGCACGAGGAACAGTTCTCACAGCTAAGGCAAACCCTCCGAATGAACATCTCCTGTTATTTCCATAGGCCATTTTATGTTCCATGAACCACCTCTAACTACTGCACCTAAAACACCATGAAAAACGACCCCACTAGTAGCCTGTTTAGTGGCACAAGCTCTTTCTGTACCTTTACAGGCACGCTTCTTGCTCCCCTTACTGCCATGCTAGCGGGCACCTGCTTTTTTGTAACACACTGCCCGTGCGTTGGCCGGCAATGCGCCTTGGGGCAAGGGCAGAGAAAGAGGAGGAGGCTCTTTTTGTCTCATTTCTCACTCATTAGCTGCAATACCAGGTTGGGACACTTTAATCCATGCTCCCATAGTGCTCTCTGCAATACTCCTGTATTCACACTTCCCAAATTGGGCTGGCAGGAGCTGCACCAGACAAGCAGAGCCCAAGCAGCAGCTGAGACACAGCCCCCTGCCTATTTTTACCCATGCAGACGATTTGCTTTGCTACCCAGCTTACCATAGCAGAGCAGCGGGCAATTAGCCTCACTTCTTTCCCTGGAACAAGCTGTCCCTGAGTGACCCTGTTATATTTTCAGATCCCTCTCTTCACAATTCTTCTTCCTGAGGCCTTCTGTCATCTGTTTCACTGCCCCACGTTATTCCTTCGCTGCCTATTCCATCTGTTCCAGCTGCCTTCTTCCTTGCTGCTGGGCCTTCCCACATTTCCACGCGCTTCCCTGCGCCCTCATTCCCCAGCCGTCCCCCCACCAGTGGAGCTCTGACTCCCACGTGTTCCCAGTGCCATGTAGCCCTGCCCACATGCTCCCACGTGTCCCAAGGGACCCACTTCGGGGCTGGGCACCCAACACTCACTCCAAGAAGTGGGTGGGAGCTCTGCCAGCCATTTCAACAGGCCTGGGCTTTGGTCTCAATCTAAACCCTCCTGTTTGCCCTAGTTTTTCATATGGTTGTGAAGTCTCCTCCCATACCCCTGTCTACTTAACCCTGCTCTGGAGCTCGCAATACTTCTTGAGCACAGTTTCAGTCACCTCCTTAATTGTGGAATAATCTCTCTAAGAAAGGAAAGGGAATGATTGCTTTAAAAATAACTTCAAGCATTCTTGGGTGTTTCAGGGAAAATAGTTTAATAAATGATGTTAATCTCCTCTGAGCAGGGGGCTACCATTAAAAATGGTTCCAAATTAGGTTATCATTTGAACGGTTCCAAGCAGACAATAGTTTCCTGACAATAAATCCTTGAAATACCAAATCATGGAACGTTTTAGTAACCATAACTGGAAGGTAGCAAATTCTGCCAAAAGACTTCAAATCTCAAAAAAAAAAAAAAAAACACCTAACCCAGGTCTCCCTCCCATGTGTGCAGCTCACACATCTCACCTAATAACTTATTTCACCTCAATCCAGCTATTGCACTTGCAAACTCAGTCAGCCGTAGGAATTTCCTCACTCCCCTTCACATTCTTTTTCCAAAAAGCGCAATTCCAGCCCAGTGAGAACAGTTTCGGTGCAGGGTGCATAACAGGAGACAAAACAGTAGCACCAAATGGAAAAGACTGACTAAAATGAAATAAGTGAACCTAGAAACGTCCCACGAGGATTTATAGCTGACCACTAACTCCTGGAATATAAATATAAAACCTCACAAGATGTACCTGCTGCAATGATATCCCCAGAAGTCACATCCTCTGTGTGTGTGCCCAAGGGCTATGTCATTCGTGGCATTTTCCCACCCGCACGCTCCTATGAGCCACCCTGAACACGGAGCCCACCACAGCCTGGTACAACACACACAGCAGCTGGACCAAGTGACCATGGAGAGGTCGGCAGCTGGGCAAGGAACATGCGGGTCCTCAGCACGCAGAGCACCCAGCTGCTGCAGATCAACGTCCATTTGTGCAGCCCATTCTCATCACGTACCTAAGAGCAACCCATTGTTTGGGCTGACTTCTAGGGAAGGCCCAAGGCCACTTAAGATCTTTTTCTCTTTTTCTTTTTAATAGTGCAGCTCAGGAATTTGTCCCTCAACTCCATTGTCCAAGCAGAACAACAACGAATCCATTGTTGCACGTTGCAGGCCAAATCCCTCAAGCCCTCAGAGCTCATTCTCATGAGCAAGTTCCTCAGCTGGCTACAAGCAAAGCAGCTCAGAACTAAAAGGATAAAAGGAGCAGACTCTCAGTTTCCAAAGTTATCTTAACTGGCCTCAAATAAAAGCAGACAGCACACTAGTAAGGAAAACTGGGTATGTTCCAAAAAACAAGGTTTTTTTCTACGAGTGCCCCAGTGATGTTTTGTTTCTCCTGGCCACTTCATGCATTTGGCAAGCTTGAAATAGCTTAAATGTTTTTCCAGTGAGATATTTTGATCTTAAAAATAAAAATACAAAGAAGCCTGATTTTTTTATGACTTCACTGACTGTGTCACTCTAATATCATCACTTTTAGTATTAGCAGAATTTGTTTTATAGCCAGGCTCCTGTACTCTGCTGGAAACCCAGAATGATAAAAAGGAGATGGTGACATTAAGTTTCAACAGTGAGAGCAACGGCTGCAGTGGCCTGGAGCTGCACGGAGTCACAGGAGCTTTACAGAAGAGCCTATTTTAGGAGCAATTTATAGTTGAGTTTCACAGAAAATTAATACCAAGTACATTTCTGCCTTCTTGACTGCTCTTTACTGCACACAAATGGCTTCAGAGAGGGTATTTTTCAGGTTTCGTGGAATTAAGCTTCAAACATTTGATCTGCAAGGTATTTTCTGGGAGACAGACAAGGCTTTGGAAAAGGCAGTTTTGGGAGAACTAGGCCTAACCTCAGGAACAGGGCGACGAGGCTGTCGCACACTTTTCAGTCAATGTCCTCTCTCCCTTTAGGCAGGCAGGGTGACCGAGGACGCATGCGGGTTTCCAGCACCACAGGTGAAACCACAACCCAGATTCCCTACAGACCACCAGATTTCTCAGTTGCAAGGGACGTGTCAAGACTAGGTACTTGTAATGCAACAAAAAAACCTCCTCTCCCCCTCTTAAAGGGGGAAAAAAATGAGGTTACCTTTCTGCATCATGAAGAAAACAGCACATTCATTCAAGAGATTTGGGAGGAGAAAAAAATGCTGCTTATTTTCAAATTTTGCATTTAAGCTCAATCTACTTTTCCACTTGTAAAACATTCACTTGAAAACTTTATCACTTCACAGCATGATGCAGCTTTGTAGGGATAGTCACTGCATGTGAGAAAATGAGATGGAAGAATTATTGAGAGGGAACGTTCTTGGAAGTCCTTGCAAATATACAGTACTATGAAAGCCCTATATAGTGAGCTGCAAACAGGACGAGTTCCTTTCGAGCAAAGCCCCCGAGAAGAGTTAACAAATTAGAGAAAACATTCGCACAGTCATGACTGGCATAGCAAGTGTCAGAGGAGCGAGGAAAGGCTTCCCCGTTGCCATGCATAACATGTTGCTCAAAGAGATCTTTGGGGGTAGAGGAGGAGCGTGTCACACTTTCTGCCATTTCAGTCTGCAGTGACAATAAAAAAATTGAGGGCTTTTTTTGCTGAGCACAATTTTCTAAGACATATTCCAGCAACAGGAGCAGGGTCAATAGAGACACTGTCTTCTGGGTTTACACAGACCAAAAATGTAACTCCTCAAGGCTGTTGTGGTGGGAGTGATATGAATAACTGAAAAGGGCAGAAAAAAGAGCTTTGGCTGCCATTCAGCTGCTCCACGGCAAGGGGAGCAGTCCAGTTCCTTGGCAGTTGCTCTTATCCAGAGCGGCAGTTTCCAGACGAGGCCTGGGTGAAAACCCCTTTCTTCTTCCCTGCCGCCTCCTCCCCTCAAAGGAATAACAGCCCTTGGACAGCACAGGAGATAGATGGTTGCCAGGCCATCGCCTGCCAAAACAGACCTGTCTTGGGCAAATCCAGGAGCAGACTGAAATGCAGACAAACGTGCACAAAAAAAACCCTCCTTTCCCCCGCAAAACACTCAGACCTTTCAGAATAAGTTAATGATAAAGGCAGACTTGGAAACACTTCACCAATGTCAGGAATGCTTTCGATTGCTCCCAGACTCTTTCAGCTGCAGCCTCTCGTCCTGCCTACACAGATGCTCTGCTGCGAAGAGGGCAGCGGGCATCTCCTGGTAGCAGCAAGCCTAGCAGTGCCCACGGAGCCGCTAAGCGGAACGGGAATCCTGCCACAGGCTCCAAAACAGGGCCAGGGTTTCAGGCTCTGATTTACGTCGCCTCCAAACCAAGCGCCATTGTTTATTTTGCAATCACTGGGCTGATCTCTCTGAGCTGGCAAGCAAAAAAAGGCTTCAAAATCCTTTCTCCTGAAAGGGAGACAATCGAGGAGGGAGAATGTGCAGGAGAACAGGTGGGAGAAAAAAAGGCATATGAAAGATCATTACTTTTAATGCTAGCAAGGATGGAAAAAAAATCTGACAGTCTGTGTATGCCTGAAATCTCTTGGCTGAATATAATATACAAATGAGCAAACGACTGACGGGGAATGGAAAACCTTCATGATCAAACCTCAGGAAGTGTTATCTATTGCACCAGCGTTCCACGTCACCCTGCCAGATTATACAAGCGAAATACTCAAGTAATAAAACATCAGTGAAACTGTAACGAGAGGGGTGCTCTAGCACAGCTC